CAAAGGAGAGTCCACCTCTCCACTCACAGCCTCCCCTTCTCCCTCCAGCCCCAAAGAGCCAGCTCTGCCCAGGTCATCCCCTGACAAAGCCCTCCATGACTTCCCATGGCCTCCGGTAAAGGTTAGCCCTTCCGGCTGGCTCCACAGACCCCCTGCCTGCCCTAGGCAGCCTGGGCCCCCACTGCCCAGTTACACCTCGATATGATACACAGCCAGTCATCCTCCCCGCATCTACCCCACAGCTCACAGCTCCCTATCACCACCTCTACTGCCCCCTCACCGGTGCTCACCCACCTGCTGTCCCCGGCATTGGCCACGTAGAGCTTCCCCTGCAGGGACACAGCCACCAGGGCTGTGCAGCCCCCCACCTGGCCGGTAGCCTCCAGTTCCTTCCCGATCAGCTCATCCTGAGCAAAGGAAGCCACTTTCACTGTCCCCAGGCTCCCACCCCCAATTCCCACTTCCCCACCGGGAGGTCTGGCCGGCCCAGGCCAGATATCGACCACGGGAGGAAGAGAAACCGGGCCCCAGCCAAGAGCGCATGCGGCAAGACGTGGCAGCCGCCCCCGCACAGAAGACACGCTGGATGAGTGGGAAAGGTGATGATGAGGGCCACTCAGTCCCGACCCACCAAGTCCAACCTCGTCCTCCTCCCAACCTACAGCTGCATGGTGACCACCGTCCCATCAAACGCCCGTGGAAGGGTCCTCCACAACCAGGAGCTCCTTCATGTCCCCACGTCCCCAGGCAGACCCTCCTCTCGGAGCCCGAGCCCACACTCACACATTCCCGGAAAGCGTTCTCCAGAGCCCCGATCACCACGTCTTCTGCCCGGATGCCCTTCTCCTCCACAAACTGGGGGTCACTGGGGCAGACGCAGCGTCCAGTGAGGTTCATGGGAGGATGAGTGGCCACCAGGCCCTCTACCACGGCCTCCAGCTGCCGGCGCAGGCAGGAGTGCAGGGTGTTGGCGGCCACAATGGCGGCTGCTGGGCCCCCATGCCCGTCGAACAAGGCCCAGTAATGACCTAGCAGGAACTGTGCAGCAAGGGCTCAGCCTCGGGCCCACCTGGCTTCCCCATCTGCCCCACTGATGGGCAGAAAGGCAGGGACCTCGGCCCGCACTGGGCCGGGGCTCCTGGCCTACTGCGCTCACCTCCTCTGGGCACAGGGTCAGCCACTCCTGGTCCTCTTCAGTCCCAAATTCACATCTCCGGATGCTCAGCTGCCCACAGGCGGCCTGGTCCTCATTGAACTCGGACTTGTCAGCATTAATAATCCTGAGACCAGGGAGCGGTCCGTGAGTCCCCCCGCCCCCGAGATGGATACGCCCACCTCGCCCCCCAATGACTCAAGACTGGAGAGGGGCCACACAGAGAGGAGCCAGCGCGCCATGCTTGCTCTCCCTGACAGGCACCTGCAGGACCACAAGGGCCACTTCCTAGCTGCCCCGGGTCCTCCCAGCCTGGCCTCTGGGGCTGCCTGCTGACGGGCTGGGAGGACACCAGCTAGCTGGGAGCATCTGGGGCACCTTTGCCTCGCTCAGCCCAGACCCCTGCTTCACCGGCCTCATACAGTGCCAACCTGGGTGGGGGAGAGATGCAGGCATGCGTGTGGGCCCCTGCGGCGCTCCCTCCAGCCCTCTGCGAGGAAAAATCCTAAGGAGGAGGGCTGCCGGTGTCCCACAGTGACAAGGGCCTACCCACTACCCACTAGGGCAACTTCGTCTAACTTGTGTGCTGGCTCGGCTGAGGTCCCAGGATGGGGGTCCCAGACAGGGGTTTGAACAGGGGAGGGTCTCCTGGGGTAGTGTCCCCAGTGGGGTTGCCTGGGGTGGGGGTGTCCCCATGAAGGTCTCCTGGGGCGGGGG